GGGCCTCCTGCAGAAGGTGCCTGGCATGAGGGAATGTGGTTGGTGAAGACCTGTCGTTCTCTCATTCCTGTGCCCCAGGGCTGGCACGTGGCTGCTCAACCAGTGGGGAGCCTGCTGGGGAGGGAGATGGGGCAGCATCTCGTTTCAGGTGCTCCGGCTGTGCCCGGGCGCCGATGGGTAGGGAGGGGTGTGTGCCAGCCCGTCTACTCATCCGTCTCGGTGGCTGACATACCTCGAATCAGACTGCATGGGGTTCAGTCCGATTCTGCCGCCTGCTGGTTGGCAGTGTGGCCATGGAAAAATTGCTTACCCTCTCTGTGCCTCAATTTCTTTAGCTATAAAAGGAAGGGATGTTTATGGGGCTTAAACAAATAAAAACAGGTGAGCCCCAAAGAACTGAAAGTGGGATCCAGCAGGAACGTGTGCATGAATGTTTGTAGCAGCACTGTGCATAACAGCGAGTGCAGGTAGAAACAACCCAAATCTTCACCAGCGGGTGAGTGGTTCACCCACACAATGGAATATGACTCAGCCATAAAAAGGAGTGAAGAGCTGACTCATGTCACTGCGTGGATGAACCTTGAACACAGTGCCGGGTGCAAGAAGCCAGACACAAGACCATGCATATGTTGTATGATTTCATCCTAGGAAATGTCCAGAAAAGGCAAATCTAGAGGTGCAGAAAGGAGGTGAGTGGTTGGTTCCAAGGACTAGGGTGGAATGTGAGGTGACTGCTAATGGCTATGGTTTTATTATATTTCGGGGTGATGAAAATGTTGTGGAACTAGGTAACGGTGATGGCAGCATTGTGAATGTTCTAAAGGCCACTGAACTGTGCACTTTAAAGTGGTTAAAATCATGAATTTCACGTTAGGAGCATGTTACCACCGTGGAAAACCATGTGTGCACATGGCGCTTCTAGCAGTGCCTGGTGCGTCGTCAATGCTGCGTTGTTATTTGTTATTAGACGTGTTCTCTGCTCTAGCACGTTTTAAACTTGCTCCCAAGTCCCACCCAGATGGTATCTTCACCCCTGGCTGCTTCCTCACCCCGCTCCCACCCCCACCCCCACTCCCACCCCCTGCCAGTCTGGGCATGCGCGAATCTCCTTCAGCAGCGCTGTTCCAGGTGCTTTCTGCTTAAACATGCCAGGAATTTCCTCCCTGGGCTCTCTCTCCCGCAGTCGCAGTCGTGGGGTTGCCACAAGTCCCTTCTGGTCTCAATTTTCACAGGCTCACAGGGGCCTCTGTCACCTCCTCAGGGCTCAGCTCTCAGTCTGTTGTCCAATCCTGAGTTCCATTCATTCATTCATTCATTCATTCATTCATTCATTCAATCAATCATGTAACCTGTATCTGTTGGGCCTCTCTCTGTAATGGTGCCAGGCAGTAACCACTGTCACGTTATTCAGAAGAATAAAGCTGAGGAAGGGAACAGAGAGTGACACCAGCACTCGGGGCTGCCAGAAAGAGCCCCCTTCCTTCCGTCTGGGTCTGCACATCCAGGTGTGCCAGTAACTGCTTTTTTGAAATTCTTGCTTAAGGAAATTGTTGATTTCCTATATAAGTGTGCTCAGCTTCTATTTTGGGAGCCCCACCCCGTCTCTCCGCTCACCAGGTGGTGCAAACAGTCTGAGTCAATCCTGTGTCCCTCAGTGAGGATGCCAGGGACGTTTCAGCAGAACATCAGTGTCTGCATGCGACAAGGGACAGTCCCTGACTTTGCAGATCACATCTCAATTGGTGGGTCACCACGGGGGCAGCCACCTGCGTGTTGGGAATGTTGGCGTTCAAGGGTACAGGGGTCTGTTATAGGTGCTGCGAGCTGGCGGGGGGTGGGAGATCTCTTTGCCCTACCCCTACTCGCGCCCCCGCTCTGACCGCGGACTTCCTCCTGCAGCGCCGGCCAGGCTGCAGTGCAAACTACAGCCACGAGATGGCAATGTTGCTCTTCGCCCCCAGCCCGGAGGCCCGTGGGCTGAGCGGCGGCAGAGCTGGGGGCGGGGAAAGACCCGGGAGGGACCCGTGCTTGGGGCAGCCTCCAGGTGGGTGGCGGGTGGCAGGGCCTGGGGAGCCTTGCACGGCTTGGCTGGAGTCTGAGGCTGGCTCTTAGTTGGATCTGCCCCCCCATCCCCTTTCAGAACCAGGGAAAGGACCATTCCTGGCCTCAGTTTCCCCATCCGTACATGGGGGGAAGAGTGTGGGCTGTGTAATCTGTAGGATCCTGTCCCGAGATACCAGGCCAGCAGGCTAGGAGTGAGATTGTGGGTTTGCAGGGTGGGATAGGGGTGGGAAAATTCTGGCCAGCCCTGGGTTCTCCTAGTCTCTGCTGCTACCGGTCCCTCCGGCCTACCCCAAGCCCTTTAGAATCCAGGAAGGCCTTTGTGCTGCTCAGAGTGACTCCAGAAATACCCCCGTTAGACATACAGGCTCAGGGCCTGGGTGATATGCAGACATCCTCATCCAAACCCAAGACAGGCTGAGACCGGGCTGCAATTCTCATCCCTATTCCACATAGGAGCTAGGAGAGGGTTAGGGGCTCCTCTAAAGTCACACAGCTGGGCCGTGGAAAAGGCACCTTCAAAAACAGATCTCTCTCCTTGCCCATCATCAGCGCCTTTTGGTGCGGGAGGGCACGCCTTTAGCCCCAGTCCGGCCCTGGGGAGGCATGGGAGTTCTGAAGTGGGGGGTTCGCAGTGGGGAGGGGGCAAGCAATTGCTGCCTGCCATCACACCTGGGCCTGTATGACCCCTGGCTTGGGCACTCACTGGACCGAGTCATGACCTTCCAGGTGCACCTGCACTAAGCCACAGAATGGCCCCTTACCCCTGCCAGAAAATGTCTTTTTAATCTTTGGTCACAGACTCCCAGCCTCACCCACCTGCTTCCTGGTCAAATGTGGGGTTCACCTTGGCATGAACACCTGGGGTCTCTCCCCTGCTGCCACATGGCCTCATGATTAGCTGTGTCCCCTTCCCCCCACCCTGGCCTGTTTTGAGACAGAGAATTCACTGGAGGGGCAGGCACTGGCGTTCTGTTCATTTCCTGTCTCGCCATCGCCCACACAAGCTGGCACACAGTAGGTGCTCTCTGCAGCGAGTGCTATGGATGAATGAATGGGAAAGAGAAGGGGCATCTGGGGGTAGCCGGGCACAGAGGACGCTAAGGAAGGCCTGAGACCATCTTGGGGACCATCCTTCCAGCTGGGGAGAGTCGCAGAGAGGGGACAGATGGGCCCCTTGCAAGGCCACCCCAGACCAGAGGAGACCCCAGTCCCACTGTCCAGCCTGCCGTGTGGCTCTCCACGCATCGCAGGCCTTGCCAGGGAGCCCAGAGGGGGCTTGGCAGGGCCATGGGTACCTTGAAAAGGAAGCGAGTTAGCAGCAACGGGAAAATCCCTTTCCGGCTCGTAATTAACCTGGGCTGGAGACCCGCCACCTGCCCCTGGCTCTTTCTTCCTTCTTTTATCTAGGAAGCGCTGGTGCTGCCTCTGCTAATGAGCCTGTCTGTACTAATGAAGCAGGTGCCCCGGCCCCCACCCCCTCGCCAGCTGGGAGGGGCGGAGGACTGCTCTTCTGATGTGAGCTCTGGGCCCACAGAGGAAAATCAGCTACAACATAATAATGGCCATAATGATGAGGATGATAATGTCCACAGCGCATACTTTAAATGAGCTCTCACTTCATGGGTCAGGGGCTTTCAATGCGTTACTGGAGACACCTTGTGGGTGCTGCCATGGCTTCCATTTCTCGGATGGGGAAACTGAGGCTGACGGAGGAACAAGTGACTCAGCCCAGGTTGCGCAACTAAGAAATGGTAGAGCCAGGATTCTCAGCCAAGACTCCATGATTCTGGAGTCTTCCCCCAATCTATCTTTTCATCACCCCACACTGCCTCATTGACCGTTTCCAAAGAGTTTGACCCGCTTTTTCATGAAAACAGACATTGGAGCGAGTGGCTGGTATGATGGGAGTTGCAGTGGAGCAGGGACTCCATCCCGAGTGGGCCGCCCCGCCCCCCGCCCCTGTCCTCCCAGCTTTCAAGGCATCTGAGCCTGCTGGAGGTGCCCCCCCACGTGCTCCCAGCATGATTAATTCATTCGGCTTCCTCCTCCCCCCACCTTGCCTGGCCTGGGTTGCGGGTGGGGGTCCCAGGAGGATCAGTGGTTCTGGGACAATAGGCACTGGGGTCCTCTTGACCTGTGACCTCCCCGCCCACTCTGGCTGAGTCCCTGCCCCCTGGATGGAGGAATCCCCAGCCCTGCGCTGCACTCCCGCGTCGTCATTGCCTACCCCTGCGTTGGGAACGCGTCTCCGGACCGCGGGGGAAACAGCCCTTTCCAGGAGAGAGAGAACTGGCCTCCGCCTCGGCGTGGCCTGTTAGAAATGGGCAGGCGCGTCCTCTGGCTCGGGGGTATAAGGGTCCCTGCCTCTCACTTGGGTAGACATCCCCCAGACGCCTTCGACCTGCCCACAATCCCTGACTGCACCGGCCTGCGCACCGCGCCGCCACCCCAACGCTCTGCAGACGCCCCGCGCGTATTCCCAGGCTCCCGGAGGCCTCCCTCCCCGCAGACGCCCCCAAACTGTGCCACACTGAACGCCGGACCTCTGGTCTGCCCTCAGCCCCCGCAGTCTCTCCCTGCAGACACCTCCTCTCCAGGCATCGCTGCCCCATTCCGAGGACCTCCCCAAAGCTCCCTCACCCCTCGACCTTGGGAACTCCCACCATTACGCCCCAACACTCCCGATCTACCTGGGAACCCCCTCCCTGCACTCTGCACCCCTCCCGCGGCTCCTGCCCGCGCAAGCACCCCCCACCACCCCGCCAGGGATCGCCAGGCCTCCGCGGCCACGCGCCCTCCCCTGGGGACGCCGAGGGGTGGCGCGTCCCGCCGCCTATCGGCTGGGCGGCCGCCTGGTGCCCCGGCTCCCGGGCGGCGGCCCCTCCCCCGGCCTCCGCGGCCCCTCCCTCGCCCGCCCCTCCCCGGCGCTCGCTCACTCTCTCGCTGGATCGAGAGGCGGCCGGCAGCTGGCGCTGGCTGAGGCGGCGGCGGCGCGACCGGGATGGGACGGGCTCTGGGGCGCAGGAGCCGCGGCGGCGGCGGCGGGGGCCGCGCAACTCGGGCCAAGTGCAGGGCAGCGGGCGAGGGCGCGGGGCGCTGAGCCCCAGCGGCCCCCAGCTCCCCGGCCGCGCACGGCCGAGCCCAGGAGAGCGAGCAGAGGCGCAGCCGAGGAAGCGCCGCCAGCGCCGGCGCCTGCGTCTGGGGAGGAGCGGCGCGCTGGGAGCGAGCCATGCCCGGTGCCCGGGCGTAGCCGCCGGGGGCTGCTCCCGGGAGCCGCGGGCCGGGCCGGGCGCGCGAGAGGAGCAGCCCCGCACCGCGCCCACCGCGCGCCGAGGACCATGCCGCCCCCGGGCCGGGCGCCGCCGCTCGGGCTCCTGCTGGCGCTGACTGCGCTCCGGTGCCCAGGTAACGCGTCCCCGGACCCCATCCCCGACCCCGGCCGCCGCGCACAAAGTTGGCTCCCGACGGGAGGCTGCCTCCTCCTCAAGTCCGTGGCAGCTTGCATCTCCTGGACTTGGACAGATCTGGGGAGACCCTGAGAACCCAGGACTCTCCGGCCTGTTGCCTTTTGCCCAGCGCGGGAGCCCACCTGCCTTCTCCCCCAAGCCCCACCTTCCCTGCGGACCCTTTCGGGGCGCACGAGGGCAACAGACGGATGCGCTCAGTCTCTCCAGGCGGGTGGGGGCACGCCTCCAGGAATCTAGCCCCCTCCCCGCCCCGCCTTGGGGCAGCATCCCCTCAGGTCCTGGTTCCTGTGGGTTTTGCTGTGGTAGGGTGTCAGTGGAACCCTTTCCCCGCTCCCAGCTCCCCGCAGTCGCATGGCTGTGCCTTCCCGGGACACCTGCGGGGCCCCAGCCTTGAGGTTGTCTCGGCCGGGGCTGTCTAGCTTGTCCGCAGCCCTTCCCTACGCCCCGCGGCCCTCCCCTACTTTCCCGTGTCCCCGCCAAGGTTTTTCCCTCCCCAAGTGACCTCTCTTGGCCAAAGTGGGACCCCTCTGCTCGCCTACTGGAAACGCGGGCTGCCCCAGTGCCCTGACCCTGAGGCGGGCGGGAGAGGGTAGCGGTGGCCAGGCAGCCCTGGGCGCGCTGGGCCGCCGGGAACGCGGTGATGCCCAGAGCCACTGCCTGGGTACCAGGGAGCTGGACTCTTTGCTGACACCAGCGGAGCTGTCGCCAAAGCCTAGCGAGTGGGGAAACCAGCATAGTCTGGTATTGTCTGTCTCCGATGGAGTTTGGAGAGGTTTCTACCACCTTGATGTGGCTACATGTTGGTTCTAGAGGAAGCTCATCCTAAAATGACAATTCCTCCCCTCCCCCCCCAGCAGTGGAAAAAATCCTAAAGGCTTGGATGAACCGGGCGCAGTCACGAGCAACATTCATGTGCATTTGAGATCTCAGTTCTCCAAACCTTTCAAAATCAGGACCTATGATTTAGGGAGCAGGTAGCTTTTGCTTTAGAAAATCTCTGCCATTTCCATAACAAACAAACCACACAGACATGCAGAATGCAGTAGAAAAACACAACTTTAACTTTTCAGCTTTAACTATCTTGGTAAGGTTGCAGTTAGGAGCAAACCTTGCATGTAAACTTGATGTGTGATGTATTTGCATGGGAAAAAAGTAAGTATTGTCTTCCTTTGAGATGCCCTTAAGTGACTCCAAATGTTTAATAAAACCTTTGCCTTGGAGAGAACCTTCTATTAGAGATATCTGTTGTGGCGTTGGCTTTGGCTCAGAGAGTGGCCTTGGGCTTAACGTGGATGAATCTTCAATCTGCTGGGCTAATGAGCAGCTATGATAAAGCTGTTTTGCTTTTGGCATTCCTCTGCGGTACACGAGAGGGCTGCCTGCCACTGGGGTCAGGCTGTTTTCTCTTAGCTAAAGCCCTGGGACCCGTTTCCAAAAGTTGCACAGCTCCTTTGGGATTGAGAATTGCAGGTTGTCTCTATTTTGTTCTCCACGCGGGGTCAGCGGTTGCCCCGGACGCGCTCCTAAGTGAATATCGGAAATCTCTTAGGAAGCTGCCTGCCTGATGCCTTTTAAGAGAAACATGACGGTCCATCCATCCTCCCTCCCCCAGCAACAGACCTGTGCCTGGCTATGGGGAGTCCTGGTTGGGGGGGGGTGCGGTGACCCCCTGAAACCTGCTGCTTTCCCTTGGAGAGCTCAGCGGGGCAGCTCCTGCAGGCAGACGCCACCCAGGCAGAGGCTCCAGTGCATCACAGGGGCCTGGAAGCACATGCAAGGTCTTTCACCAGTCCCCAAGAGACGACAGTTTGAGTAACTCTATTTAGCACCAGGTTAGGAGGGCTGGCAAAAATAAAATAAATATAAAAACAAGGCTGAAAATTCCTGAAAGATACTTGGCTGCCTACACTTGGTTAAAGGTTCAGAGGAATTAACCAGAGCTTCTTCAAAGCTGGTTGGATTTTCTGGATAATTTCTGCGGTGATGTACCGCCGTGTTTGGCGGAGGCGCTGGCGGAGGGGCTGAGAGTTCAGAGGCAAGGAAGCCTGCGCGCGCTCTCCCGTACACACTCGAGGACTGTCTTCTTTGTGCCCCCCCTCCTGCGTGGGTAGCTGCCATGGTAAAGAGTGTGGTGGGTGTACTTCTTTCAGCCTTGCAAGCGCTTAAACATATGGAACTGTACTTGGTAAGAGTCAGCACAAACCCCCAGCTTAGCGACTAGGGGGCCCCTATTTGAGCCACTTTTGTGCACCTGGGCTTTGCAAATTTGGCGGCGAGTTACAGTCCCTGCTGGGAAAAGAACGTGCCTTGCTTCATTGACTCATTATTCTGGGGGGGGGTGTCTGTGAAATTAGGGTGGGGTGGAGCACCCTGCCCCTCGACAGAGGGGCCTGTGAGTGCAGAGCTTGCAAGTGTGGGGAGGGGAGCTTTGGTTTTCCAGGCAGAGGTGCTCTTAGCCCTGCCTGGCACCTGGGTGGGGCATGTGGTATATTTCTCATTACAATAGTGAGTTTTTGGGGGTTGGGGCTTGCCTGTGTGTGGCGTTGTCCTTCAGAGAGGTGGCCTAGGAAGTCGTGGGGAGTGGTATGCAAATGTCGGGCGCTCCCCCAGTGATTAATGGCCGCACAGCGGAGTTCCCAGAGTAAATCATTTCATCCCCTCCTCCCACGGATGCAGAACCGGAGGCGTGGGGCTTCTGCTTGAGCCAACAATGAGCATGGTGGTTGCCGTGATCCAAGGGAGCTAAAGAAACCCTCATTTGTTGGCTCGAAGTCTGGGAGGGTGGTCTCCTGGCCAGCCAGCAAAGCCTTCCAGCGCCTTTTCCCGACGAGTCCCCAGTTCTGTGCGGCTGGGTGGCTCCTTTCTTCTCCCTGGGCTCCGCTTGAATGGAGATGGAGAGAGTCCATTTCTCCTTTAAGCTCTGGGATCCAGCAAACTCGTGGCCTCCCACCACTGCGGGGGATGGAGCGTCCTGGTGTGGGCAGCTTCGTGGGTGACAGGGGAGCTGCCCTCTTCCGGCAGAGAGAGTGATGTTGACTTGTGGAGCAAGCAGGCATCTCAGAGCAGCTTCAACAGGCCCTTAGCAGATGGGAAGAAGGAGACCCAGGAAAGGGGTCTTCTTCCTGGGTGCCTTGGCCAGACCCGCACGTGAAGTGGAATGGGCAGATCAGGGCTCTCGACTCTCTCGTTTTAACTCTCGCCCAGGACTTTCCAACCTATACCGGGGAGCTTTTCTGGTAACAGAAGTTCTACTGTACAGTCGCCTAGGGGACTGTGGCTTCATTAAAGGAGCCCAAGGTCATGAGAATGACAGCCACTTGGCATGGCCAAGGTAGCAAATGTCAACTCAGACAGGAGCAAATCCTAGTGATGATGATGATGAGGTGGTGGAGGTGGAAACAGGTGCCACTGAGGTTGCTGACTGTGCTGCATGCACCGTCCCGAGCCTGTCCCTGTGTGACAGTGACAGAACACTCACCACTCCGGCAGGTGGACTCTTGAGTTATTCATGGTTTACAGGTGAGGATGTGAGGCCCAGAGATGCCAAGTAACTTGCCTGGGATCACACAGGACACTGATCAGTGCCTTACCCACAGCCGGAGTTCATGCTCTAGCCTTGTCCAGAATGGTGTGGACCCGAGGCCAGGCACACTGGCTCACACCTGTAATCCAGCACTTTGGGGCCGAGGCTGGAGATCGCTTGAGGTCAGGAGTTCAAGACCAGCCTGAGCAACATATCGAGACCCTGTCTCTACAAAAAAAAAAAAAAAAAAAAAAAAAAGAATGGTGTGGCTCTGCGCTGGCCAAGCTGGACCTACGCTCCAAGGTGGTGGACAGTTATTAAGCTCCTTTGATATGCCGGCCTTTGCTGGGTCTTTCACTTCCTTTCTACTCTCTCCCTGCAACAAATAAACGTATTAATGTGTTGAGAGTCGTAGAAATCAAACACATTGGAGTCTACTCTGTAGGCAGCTGGAATCCTTTAGAATTCTGTGCCCTGGAGGGGTTAGATGGTCACAAGGAAGGGCAGGGCTTTGGCAGGCAGGGTGTTGGTCTCAGGCGCTGGTTCTCACCGTCAGTGTGCCCCAGAGTTAGTAATAGCACAGTAACCATCCCTGCTCTAGGGTGCTCTGTGTGTTCCACGCCCTTCATACATGTTTGACTCATTGAATCTTCAACAGCTCTAATGGGCTGGCGACTACCATTTGCACCATTTTTCAGATGAGGAAACCGAGGTCTGAAGAGGCGATGTGGCCTGTGCGTGGTCACGTGGCCAATCAGTGATGGGGTGTGTCTGTCTCAGAGTCAGTGCTCTTAGCTGTGACATTGTCTGTGTTCATGGGCACTGAATTTTGGGTGCAATTTATTTGATTTTGAGACTTAATTTGGACCCGGGGGATTAAGGGATGTCCCTTGAGTCAAGGGGAGAGCTGGGGCTTTCTTCGTGAGAAACCCATTTTGGGAAATGCCGTCCATTCTAAAGTCAACATCCTCAGTCACGAGCCCTGGGCTGCTTTGGCGTTTGGGTAAGTTGGGCAGACGTGCAGGGCCCGTGGAGGGTGACAGTGGCCTCTGGGCCATATCTGGCCTCAAGATTTCTCTTGTTAGTTGCCAGCATTTAATTATTGTGTGGTGTCAGTGTCACAATCCAGGTTTCTGGCTACACTCAAGAAACTAGGAGATCTCAGAATACTGGTCTAGCCTCTTGATTGCTCTGAGACTCAGTTTCCCCATCTATGAAATGGGCTCTGAAATCCTTCCCTGCTGATCTTATTGGGGGACTCCAGCAAGAAAGAAGTCTGTGAACCACAATGGTATGGGAATGGGCGAGGTGGTCGGCAAGGGGTGGGGGTCAGGGCAGGGGGAGGGTGCTCTTTCCTGCAGCAGCCACAGCTGCAAAGAGAAGGAGCACGAACCATCAACTGCCTACCAAGTGGC